CAAAGGGGGTTCCCAAATTTTTACTGATAAACCAAATGAAAGGGTCCCCCTTACATTGAAATTAAAGTTATTTACCCTTCTCAGTTTGTTTTTGCCAAAGAGAAGGCTTTATTTTCCCTAGGTGTAATGATAGTTTTTTTCTACTAAACCCTTTGCTGCAGGACTCCAGTTCCCGTGTTTAAAAAATTAGCAAATCTTGTGGGTCTTTTCCTGAACTAACAGAGCCTTCTCTGCATACAGTAGGGGTTTGCATTGACATGATAGGCTATCATTTACATAAATAAGAAAAATAAGGGACCCAAATACTATTGGGGGAAATCCAATGTTTTCGGCGGGTTCGATTCTGTTTTTTTGTTTTGACTATTTTTCTCCTGTTGCTAAGGGAACTTAAACCCTCTACAGAACCTTTCCGTAGCTTGAAATTTTTACATAATATATGTGGTTGACAGTATCGAAGGGGGTTTTGCAGGTCTAAGGTTACCATACCATGAGGTTCCCCCGACTTTTTATTCTCGGTACCATCAGATTAAAAAGGGAGGGGCCCGGGTTAGTAGGATCTTCTAAAGCCCCATGATGCTATGGGAATGTTTTGTCATTAAGGTACTTAACTACTTGAGAATACACCGCCCTCTCTAGAATTTTAGATATTAACTGAGTAACTCAGGGTTTTATTGCTTTCATCAACCACTTTTTTTCTTGAAGATAGGGGTAACTCTGGCCTCCTTTAACCCCCCCCGTCGGTATTAGTGGGATTGAAAAATTTATTATGTTTGCAATAGGGGTTTACAGTTAGAACACCATCTTTTAGGAACTTGACGGGATGTTATCAGGGCCTGTGTCTTAGTTGGGTTTAAACCTGCTTAGTTCTTTTTGAATAAAGTCATGAGATACATTCTGTTGACAACTGTTTGGGGGTTTCCCCTTTTTTGGATAGTAGTTTGAAACTTTTCAAGGCTGTGTTTAAAGGGATTTGTCAGTGGGATTTACTTACGTGTTGATGAACGATTGTATAGAAAAAAGCAATTTGCCACCTTTGATTTTCATGGCATACCTCATTATCGATGTGAGTACTAGTTAGACCTATCTCTGCTTTTGGCTTGTTTTGACTGTTTCTTGCACATTTGCTGCATAATATTTAAAAGACGGGCAGTAAAGATTTGAAATAATCGTTTAGTGTTCAGATAAAAGTTTAGCATTAGCGAGATGTTAAGAAAGAGTGGGTTTAAACTTAGCGAAAGTAGCCACCACATGATAGCTGTAAAACTCGTCCTTGTGGTTACGAAAAATTTACCCCATCCCCCACCAGAAGTAAATTTTTTAGTTATTTCTGTATAAACCAGTCGGAGAGGGGAAATAACACAGTGTGTCTTTTGGGGAAAGAGTAGGTTGAACACAGGATGTACTTCAACATGCTCTCCTCCAGTATGTTACTGCCAAATCCAAGTGATTTTTTACAAACCCCCCATACTCCTTTTAGCCGGGACTTCTGGCTGTGACATGCAGGGGCAGTGGGGTTCGTTCGCTTTTTTGCTGTTATCACTGGTCTTTTCCCTTTTAATCTTGTTCTACCTATTTTGTTTCCCTACTCATCTGTTGTTTAGGCTGCTTTATCGGGGTTCCGCGAAGCGTAGTTTAACCTAGCCCCTTTTGGCATATGCTAATCCCCAAGTTAAAATTTAAAAGGGTTAAAGTGCTTTTAAAGCTTTTATTGCCATGAACAACACTCCAATTTCCGGGCCCAATGCCGGGCAGCAACGCTACTCGCAAATTTGCGTTTTTGAAAGACGTAAAAAAATTAATTTCATTCCCAACCCTTCACTAAACTCGTGCCCAAATACCCAATTTTTTGCTAGCAGAGACAGCGAGGAGGTGTTTGTTACTCACCTAGTTGACCACCTATTTAGGTTGCGGGGGTCGAGTCCCCAGCCTGGGGCCCCCCCCCTTCATGATCGCTACAGGCACTCTCCCTGACCGTGAGCTTTTTCATACCTCGCTTAAAGCTATGTATGGATCCCGCCTCCACTCATCGCTTCCCAACTATTCCCCTTTCTGACTACTCTGGGGCTGAAGAAATACTTCCTAACATCCCTGTGATTCATCTGTGTCTTCACTTCAACGTGTCCCCTTGTTACTTGGGCCCAACCCGGAACACCTGTCTTGTCCCCTTTTCAATTCCTCTCAGTATTTTTTATGTCGTTTTTTCATGTCCCCCCTATCTCTCCGTCCTCCAGTGTCGTCAGGTTTATTTCCCTTAACCTCTCCTGTGGACATACCTCTTACTTGGGGCTAGTCTTGTTGCAAAACCCTTTTCATTTCTCTAGTTTCTTCACGTGCTTTGGGTAGGGTGGGTTCCAAACTGGTGCCGCAACCCAAAAGGGGCCCAACGTACAGGTGTACAGGGGCCTGAATGATTCCTTTTTAAGAGCGGAATGCTGTTCGAGGGTTTTTAGGCGCCCCTATTCAGCATTTTTTTGGTTGGTGCGCTTCAGGAGATGTGCCTGGTGTTATACTCACCCCAAGATCTTTTTCCTTGAGTGAGGTTTTAGTTTGACCCCTAGACTGTATCCGTCTGCGGCCTTCTTTGCCCCCTTTCCCCCAATCTTATGACTTTTACTTGGGGGGATTGAACCCAGGGGCCAATTGCGGCCAGGGCTGCAGCCTGTCCAGATCCCTTTGTATTCTGCCTGGTCTTTGATCGAGTGAATTCTTCTCACAACTTCACGTCATCTGCAAACGGGGCACCTCAGAGTCTATTCCTTCCGTCATGTGTTCACAAATCCCAGAAACACACTGGCTAGGACTGACCCCTGCGGGACCCCGCTGGTCACAGGTCCCCCACTGAAACCTCGCCCGTACCATGACTTGCTGCTGTCTTCCTGCAATATTCCCTGATCCATTGTATTGCCTTCCCTTTTACCCTGCTTGGTCCTCCGTTTTTGCACCCAAACCTTTTGTGGGAAATGTGGGCAAACGCCTTCTTGCGTCCCCAAAAAAAATGCAATCCAAACCCACCCCCTCTCTCTTGTCTTACTGCTGTCACCAGTCATAAACTCCAGTGGTTTTTGACAAGGATTTCCCGTCCCTGAAACCATGTTTGGGGCTGTTGATGGAACGTTCCTTTCGGTGTTCCACCCTCTTCTGATAAAAACTTCTCCATTTTTGCAAACTATACATGTCATGACACGGCTGAGTTTTTAAAGCTTCATGTCTGTCTCCTTTTTTAAAGATTGGGACTACATTTGCTGTCTTCCATGCCTCAGGCAATCTCCCTGTTTCGATAGATGTATTGAATATTGTTGTTAGGGGTACACATAGCGCCTCTGCTCCCTCTCTCAATACCCATGGGGAGATGTTATCTGGCCCCATTGTGTGTGTGTGTGTGGTGTGTGTTTGTGTTTGTGTTTGTTTTCATTGAATTGTATTTGCAGGGGGTCGAGGCACCGTTCACTACTCCGCCTATTGAGTTTGAGTCCCCTGAATCTTTTGACAAAGAATCCCGCAACCAATTTTTCGGTATAAATAATGAGATTTCTTTTTTTTTTCAAATATCTTGTAATTTGCAACTAGGCCTTGGAACGAATTATGGGTATGGCTTAAAATATAATTAATGGACTTTTTTTTTATTAAATTGTGATTACAGTGTATATAATTAAATTATTCACAATAGCAAATTGGCATTGCTATTAGGAAGTTCAGATGGTTGAAAATTGGTAAATATTATCGCGAATTAATAATGATGTTAGCCAATTTCTTTTAAAATCGCTGAATATCCGAACAGTTTTATTAGTAAATCATACAAATAAGTTTTGGGTTGGATTGACTGATGTCAACCGGACTTGTGTACTGTACCGTAATACCTTCTCAGTAAGGTGTGAATGAAGGTAACTTCCACAATTTGTCTAGCTCATTCCACTTCTCTACAACCCCGAGACTACAGTAATTTTTGACATCCCTATGGCGCGGGTCGGTGCCAGAATAAGGTTATGTTTAAAAGTTCTTGGCTTGTGTAGGTTTGATTGAAGCAGCATTGTCGGTAGGTACCTGGGCCGCACTGCAAGCCAGTGTAAACGACGGCTGGGACGTTCATAGCAGCTTTTTGGCGTCTCTGCACAGTGCCATCAACCGAGTCCTTTTATTTTCTTGATACCCTTGAATTTGCAGGAGCTAAGCTGTTATCCTACCTAATTTTAAAGCCCAGTTTTATTAAGGCACACTACCACATGCCAGGATGCCACCCCTGAGAGTTAACTAACACCCTGGTACCTATTTACTGCTAGGAGGCAACATCTTCACTCTTTCGGGATTGATCCCATGTTCATGAGTTGGAAGCCAAAGTCGAGACCACTGACCTACAAACCGCCTTACATTTTCTACACTTTATGGCACTTTCTTGATTTAGTTAGTCTATTATAAAGCACATCCACTGCACGTTGGTCATTAACTTTACACTTCACCTGTACACCAATATTAAGAGTACTTTAATCCCAAATATAAGGGTTTGTGTGCGTGTGTGTGTGTGTGTGTGTGTGTGTGTGTGTGGTGTGTGTGTGTGTGTGTGTGTGTGTGTGTGTGTGTGTGTGTGTGTGTGTGTGTGTGCGCGCGCGTGCGCGTGTATAAAATTATATAAATCGCCTGTTGTACTGATGGTTCTACCCCTGAAAAAGGAAGGCTTTGTTAGTGTTAATCCCGTATTGTTATTCAAATAAGATAACCCGAGAGAGCGAAGTATTATGACCTTCGTTTTTTTGTATCCTCTTCCTCACGATATATCCACAGCGGTCTACTCACTACTAGGTTTCTGTTTATTGTTAGGTGAACTCAAACATTATATATTAAGGGGGTTGCCCGTATGTCTGTCCCCCTGGGGATCGAACCCGGTTTTTTTCAGTTATGAGCTGAGGTAAATTAGCGAGGGGAGTAACTGTTGTGACGTGAGCACCAGGAAGCGTGCCAGGTATCATACTGACGGTGTCATTCAGGCCAAGACTGGTGTTTACGTCGCTAGTATCGGTGCGGGCAGCTCGGCAGGCAGTGTACCAGGTCTGGCATACGCCCGCCACACCATTCTCACCCTGGCCCTCGCCAGCGCCCCGGCCAACACAACACACTCGTACAGGTGTTAACCCTCCCTCGGCCACTCATTTCCCTAGTTCCCCGGAAAACAGTGTTTAAACTCTCTATGTTCAAACTTTTAATTGAAAAAACCGCTTGCACACATCCCTGTAGGATGCTCTAGGTTGACCTGGCCTCACAGAAACTGTGGTTAAGAATTTAGTGGAGTTTCTTCTTAGTCTTCATAAACGCTCCTGTAATGAACTTTTTACTGACAAGTATCTTGTTTGTGTTGAAATTGTGTATTGCCAGTACAGTGTTGTGAAGTAAAAGAAAAATAAGTTTTACGAAATGGTGTACTCGAGAGCCTGGTTTTAGAGGCAAGGAAGAGAAAAGTGAAGGAAGGAAGAATGGCTTCCGAGGTTGTAGACGAGACAGTAATGTTTACTATACCTTCGTCTTATCACTGGGACTCAGGCAACGAAGATGATTGCTCCGAGGAGGTGGCTCTGTGTGTTGCCCCTTGCTATGGCTCTGATTCAGACGACGACGTTGACAATGACGACGACGATGACGATGATCTGAACAGTACCAACCTAGAGGGCCACGACTCTGGTATAGCAGGATGCCGGCCCAGAGAAGGTCATGACTTGAAGAACCCCTCCTTACTTCGCCAGGTTATCAGAAGTGATAGTGACGATGAGGACGAGGACGCATCCGATTATGATGATGACTCGGACTGTAGTTCAACGGTCGAAGACTCAGAAGTAAAGGTAAAAAGAACTCGAGAAGGTGAAATTGCGGCCACAGCAACCAGGCCTCTGATACGTTGGTCGAGTTATATCGACGGAGAAGAGAGCGAGCAGGAGGAAGAGGAGCAAAATCAGCACCTGGCCGGTAAGTTTAGTTGTTAGTCTTATACACACTGTCGACTGCACGTGGGCCATTAACGCCACAATTCATCTACACACTAACATAGAATACTTTAATCCTTAAAATAGGGATTAATGTAAACCGTGGATGTATATTGACGTAAACACCTCAATGAATATATTCAGAAATGCGCACTTCTCGGTGTATATACCTTATTTCTGTCTGATAAGATGTCTCTATAGGTTTGTCATGTATCGGAATGACTCTTCTTGATTTTTTTGTTTGTTTTTGTTTTTTCCGGTCAGATGCATTTCTTAAATTTAACCTTAGCGTTGTGGTGTTCTGAAAAGGGTTGATAACGACGAATAAAAGAAATGTTTTTACCAAATTTAAGTTCAGAATTTTCCGTTTTGGTGTATTGTCCAGTTTCATCTTATGTTTATTTCATTTTCCATTTAATCCTATCTTTGACATTATATTAGTATATTCCCCTCCATCGTGTGTCTGTCATGACAGTTAAGCATCATTACCGTCGTGTTTTTACGCTTTAAGAGCAAGACTACATTGCAAGTTTGATTTCCCTGAGGCTGGTAATTTACCCGTGATTTCGGAGAAGCTGTGGCGTGGTCTTGCGTGTAAACAAAACCATTTTGGTGTTATGATGCCCTGGCAGATACTAATGAGGTGAGGGAAAGGAGTGAAGGAGAGTGGCTGTGCTGGACGTAAGCAACACCGTCTAGTATAAAGTGGAGGTCCATGTTACCGTGGCCTACCTTGGAACCATCGGCTACAGCACCTTATGTTGTGGGAATAAGACACCCATGCACAGTCAACACATTGAGGAGACTTTCGTCATTTGTGACTTGTTAGGATTGATAGTCTTAAGTGGTGAAACATATCAATAAATGCCTTGATTGTGCCTATAGGTTTCATTCACACAGTCTGTCGGTATTAACTTGCCTTTACTTGTACAGCACCTTCTGGTATGTCCTTACACAGTAATAGCGCTGACGCTAGAGTTTGACACCACTGATTACATCAACTTAAAACAAATACTTGTTTAAAGTTATTACTCTTAATCTGACGAACAAACCAGAAGCAACATACAGAAAGCATTTATCTCTACTAAGGGTAGTCATGCAAGGCTAGTCTTGTCTTTCCTGACATTGAAGACAGTATTGATCTTTACTTGTCAAGTATCTAAACACTGTGTATCACTTAAACATTACACAAAGTGGTGTGACACGCACTACTACTTTACTGTTCACACTTCGTACTGATTCCTCTTGCAAATAGTGGCACAACACCGCTATGAGTGTTCCATGTAACTCAGAAGAGAATAGCTATATAAACAGGGTGTTCCCACACTGTGGTTGACGTGTAGAATAAAGTAGATGTTCCTGAGTCAGTTTCATTGTCCCTGGTTTCCGTTCCCATCTTTCTTACCCTTGGTTATCCTCCCTGGTCCTAGTTACCCTCCCAGCCCTGCACAATCAGTCAGAAGCGCGGTGTGCCTGCATGACTATATTTACCACGCCACCATAACTCATTTGTACCGCTGGTGTGTAGGGCCAGCTGCAGCAACTTTAGAAACCCATCAAAGGTACGTCGGCTCACCCACTGCCTCTCGTCTCGTTTTCTAAGCGGCCCATTTCGACAGGTGATTTTTCCTAGGGTTGAAATACAGTTTTTGATTGATTATTTTGAGTTCATAATTTTTGAAGTGGTTTATTTCTTTAACGTCGTTCCAAAGTCAAAAATCAGTTGAGTGTTTCAGTAACTTTTCTATAATCAATTTGAGCATCACAAATTATCCATCATTGATACTAGCTACAAACAAGTTTAGACTGACCTTAATTAGATCGAGCAGCTTATTTTTGCATGGTTGTTACGTTATTATGCGCAGTATTTACATTGTGTATTCTTAGAATTTTTGTGATTGTGTTCATGCTTGTATGCATTACACTGTGCATGTTATTGTGCGTAGTGTTCCAGACTAATAGTTTAAAATTACCGTAATCTACTGTACTTGGGTGGGAATGTATCATGTTCAAGTGCCATAATTTGGATTCTTCAGCTGCGTGATATTCCTCTTTGTATCTCTTGGGTCATCTATGGCAGTCTTTTTTGTTGTTGTTCCTGTGCCTTACTCTGGCAAAAACTTGTTCCTACCATGTTTAGATGCATTAATTCCGTAGACAGCGGTGTGGGAACGCACATTAAAGGAAAGTAAATACCATGATTTGCCAGAGTTGCTACTAGAGATGATAGAAAAGATTCTTTGGCCTAAGGGAGAGACGGAAGATTGAGACACTAAGGGAGAGACTTTGAACAGCGCTGCTCGTCACCTTGAATAATAATATATTGACGCAGAAGCGCTGGTCTCGAAGAGGTCATGCAGTACTTAAACAAAGGAAGGGTAGCACAAATTACTTGTATCAAGAAAACTAAACAGCCATAGTCAACACATGGGATAAATAGTGGACATAATGTTTAAAGTATCGAAAATCTTTGACACAGCGCATTTTTCTAAATTTAATAAGTTGTAAATGGTATGGTGATTCCTACATTGTGGAGAATGACACAATACAGCTCAGGACATTTATAAAATTAAACTTTTAGCTGCGAATGGCTTCATCAGCCGCAATAATAATAATAATAATAATAATAATAATATTGGCAACATCACCATCCTTGAAGAATTCAGACACTTATGCAACATATGGGAATCTTTATTGAAGAAACGTTTCGCCACACAGTGACTTCATCAGTCTTATACAAAGCAGGAAGGCATAAGGAGAGGAGGAATTTGAGGTAATCAGTCCCTCAGCCTGGAGTCGATGTGTTCAGTCCATCAGTCTTGTAGAAAGTACAGCACAGGAGGGACTGGTTGCCTCAAACTCCTCCTGTTCTTCAACGTTCTCCTTTGTATGGACTGATGAAGCCACTGTGTAGCGCAACATTTCCTCAATAAAGATACCTAAGTGTTGCACATGTGTCTAATTTATCAGCGTTCATAATATTAAGTTATATTTCTGAACTTGGTAATATACCTGCTTGCACTTGCCTAGCGGGCGTCTCTTGCCAATACTTGTCTCCCTCCTTTTTCACCTATTCTTCTTCTTACTCTTCCCTTAACATCTTCCTCATCCCTGACTTTCCTTGTTTTCTTCTCCCTCCCAAGTCCGCTTCTCCACTCTCCTTATTTTGTGCCTAATTCTTTGATGCTAGCGATACATGTCGGTTACCAGAAGGAAACCTGAAGGGCCAAATCAACAGGGCTGTGATGGACATGGGCGGCCATCAGTAGTAACACCAAGCAAGCAAGCAAACACTAGAGAAGCCTGGTACAGAGCCAGGATACAAAAGTACATAAGAACATAAGAAAGAAGGAACACTGCAGCAGGCCTACTGACCCATGCGAAGCAGGTTCATGCCCTCCCCCCATTCTTCCGGATTAGCCCAATGACCCACCTAGTCAGGTCACTTCCACTTAAGGAAGGAGCAAGGCATCACACCTAGTAGCACAAGCTTGTCAGGTCCAACTCACACCCACCCACACCCACTCTTGTATTTATCTAACCTATTTTTAAAACTACACAGCGTTTTAGCCTCTATAACTGTACTCTGGAAAGCCTTCTAAGGTATATCAAAGGATGTGTGCGTGTGCGTGAGCTAACTTACGTACTTAAGGAGTACTTACTCTGGTTGAAAGGTCCTGGAGTCTGCTTCTGGTCTCTCCTCTCACCATTAACTACCGTCTCATTTGGTTGCTATTTCCGTGGGCATAAATCAGATTTGTCTCCCACTAACATCTATCAGTTACACTGACTTACCGCCTGTTTCTGAAGAATTAATTTTCTGATGTCCGTTTACCTCCTGATAATGATAATTTTCAGACGCCTGAGAGTCTGAGTCACCTGCCAAGGGTTTGATTCCCATCCGTTTGTGATTTTTAACTTACATTTGTCTTCCCTTATCCTTGATCCTTGTATTTTAACATGCACTTTAAATTTATTTTGAGCGCTTTGTACGTCATATAATGAACCTAAGTCAGTATTTGGCTAGCCGGGCTGTGGGTCGTACGTCGGTTTACGTGCGGCCTGCAGTAACAGCCTGTGTAAGAAAGGTATAAAATACCGACAATATGAAAGTTAAGACACATGTGCAACATCTGGATATCTTTATTGTAGACGTTTCGCCATCCAGTGGCTTTATCAATACAGATTCTAGGACATAATAGGAAGACAGTAGAACTATATACAAAAGATGAGGTAATCAGTCCCTCGGCCTTGGAGTTAGTGTTCACAGCATCGTGGTGGAGGAGAATCTGGAGCAAAGGCAAGAAGACTGACGTTTATATAGGCGTCAGTGGAAGGGACGGGCAGCAGACGAGGGCAGTCACTGGTAGGCGGGATTCCCCAGTGGAAGTAGGTCCTTCCCAAAGAGATGGGTTAGTTGCAGCAGCCGTGAAGAAGGTCTTGTAGATGTCCTCTGAACCAAGATTCCATGATGTTGCAGTGTCTGACAAGTTGTGTAAGAAAGGTATAAAATACCGACTGCTGCAACTAACCCATCTCTTTGGGAAGGACCTACTTCCACTGGGAATCCCGCCTACCAGTGACTGCCCTCGTCTGCTGCCCGTCCCTTCCACTGACGCCTATATAAACGTCAGTCTTCTTGCCTTTGCTCCAGATTCTCCTCCACCACGATGCTGTGAACACTAACTCCAAGGCCGAGGGACTGATTACCTCATCTTTTGTATATAGTTCTACTGTCTTCCTATTATGTCCTAGAATCTGTATTGATAAAGCCACTGGATGGCGAAACGTCTACAATAAAGATATCCAGATGTTGCACATGTGTCTTAACTTTCAGTAACAGCCTGGTTGACCAGGTCCTGATCCACCACGAGGCGCCTGGTCATGGACCGGGCCGCGGGGGCGTTGACCCCCAAAACCCCCTCTAGGTATATACTCCAGGTGTACTCCTTGGTCTGTCTAATGTGGTTAGATTTTGAACCT